GGTGGTGGGCGGGTGTGGGAACACGCGGCTGAGCAAGAGCAGTTGTATTAGTTCTGTCCTGCCCAGCGCTCCAGGGAATAGCTGTTTCCAGCTAAGTGAGAAAGGTCAGTCAGGAAGGAAGCTAATATTTTCGGGCATATTAAACCACTTGGTATTGGCTGAAGAATCATCACAAATGACTAGGTGTCTTGAAAATGTTAAAGCCAATTAAAACAGGAGAGACAAGCCCAGAGAGGAAATACACCAGAGCTGCAGAGAAAGAAAAGCAAAGAAATTACTGTTATGGCCTCACATCCATACACATACGCACATACTGTAACCATGTTTACATACAACCAAGGGGAGAAAAGACATCCTTGGCTTCTCCACACTATCTTCCCAGAATACCCCAAGTACCTTGTTTCTGTAATTACAGTGTCAGAGGAGCTGTGCTCTGTCTTTCTACAATGACATCTTAGCCATGTTGAGGTGAGATGTGTGAGTAAGAGCACTCATTTGGGGCTCTCCCTCCAAATGGGAAGGAAAAAAAGCTGCCCGAGGGCAAATCAGATTATCCTAAAGTCAGGTCAGATGAACCGCCCAAACACTTCTGAAGTTTGGTGAGAGCAGCCCTGGTCAATGTTCCAGAAACTGCCAAAGGAGGAAAGAAGAGGTGGTGGGGAGGAGGGGAAACAAACAAATGAAACAAAACAAAACAAAAAAATTATAATCCACAGGAATTGTCTAGAAGATGTGATTTCCAGTAATTCCGCTTCCACATGTTTGAAAAAGGTTAGTGATGTTCCAGAAGTATGAGATCAGCTTTAAAAGAGACATTTCTGTCAATCAATAGACCAGGGATTTCTTTCTATCTACTCATTGATTATGGCCTTTCAGAATCCACTTAGGAAACATTTTTGCATTTTTAAGCACATCCATGAGGGAGGAATCTATTTGATTGTAGTTTTATCTTGGCTAAAATTACAAATGTCAGTTTTCATGTGAGTGTCACTGCAAAGATAAGGGGTAGCAGTATCAGAGCCTCACTATCCCAGTGAACTTGCTGGTGCAATGAGGATGAGATGAATCAGACTGGATGGTTTCAGGTCCTGGAGATATTTTGATTTTAGCAAACTATGCAGCCAGATGTCCACAGTTCCCACCCACCCCCACTGGGTGAAGCATCTGGTGCTTCCCATCTCAAAAGCCTGGAGCTGTATTCATTTCATTGCTTTCCTTGGGTGCAGAAACACTGTAGTTACAGAGCTGTGCTGAGCTTCTCCCTCGGTGCAAAGGCACGCCTGTGATACGGCATGCTCAGCTTCTCGTCCGGCTAAGTTCTCCATGACTGGTTCAGCAATGCTGATGAACTGACACCACCTTTCAGAGGCAACAGTCTGTTAAAGGTCTGCCTGGTGCCTGCTTAAACCAGCATGTTGTTCACGGGAAACTCCCGTTTCAGCTTTGATTCCTTTGAGATGGAGGTGTGGAGTTTGTCTACAGCTGAAAATGTTCCTGGAATAGCTGTACCAACATCTAAACATGTCTCTCAGCATCATGGGAAGAGACGGCCTATATGAGCTTCGGAACACCTTTGAAACAAAATTGGTTCCCTGAATGCTTTAGCCACTGCCAGTAAAAGGTCATGCAGACTTCTACACTGTTTACAGGGATGGAAGAGGGAAGGAAAAGATATTTTTAATGCTCTTAATTGGAAAAACTTCTAAAGTGTAGAGCATGCTGCATTTTTTGTCCAAATTATCAAGGAACAACTTCAAACCACTTTCAATCGGGTGATTTTGCTGCCTCACTAGCAGGCTCAGACCGCTGTAAACCTCACATAAGCTGGTTTAGCTCCTGCTGGCAATTACCACAACCAGGTGTGAGCATCCAAGCACATCTCCATTTGGGATGTTCTCTGCTTTAATTACACCTATTTCAAGTCACTTGGGCAAATCCAGTGGAACTTCTCTCATCCAGAGCAGAGGCCAAGTGCCAGAGTGCTAATGGCTTAGCTCCTATTCTGCACCACTCAAATATCATTATCAAGCCTGTGCACACTAAGTGTGTGCAAGTCTGTCTATGGCCACATTATGGAATCAAAATGTCTAAAATTACTTTGACCATATGGAATTTCCCCAGTCTTTCTCAGGCTTCCTAGAAGGTGATTTTAAAGACAGAAGAGTTTGAGGCCAAGAGAGATGCTGTCTGACATTCGCAATGAGACACCCTTCCAAGAAGCTTTTGATTGCAAAAAAAAAAAGTCATGGCAGTCAGGTGAAGTCCCTGGTGACTGGAAGAAGGGCAACGTTGTGCCCATTTTCAAAAAGGGTAGAAAGGAAGACCCTGGGAACTACCGACCTGTCAGCCTCACCTCTGTGCCTGGGAAGATCATGGAACAGATCCTCCTAGAAGCTATGCTAAAGCACATGGAGGCCAGGGAGATAATTCGAGATAGCCAGCATGGCTTCACCAAGGGCAAGTCCTGCCTGACAAACCTGGTGACTTTCTATGATGGAGTGACAGCATCAGTGGACAAGGGACAACCAACAGACGTCATCTATCTGGACTTCTGCAAGGCCTTTGACACGGTCCCCCACAACATCCTTCTCTCTAAATTGGAAAGCTATGGATTTGATGGGTGGACTGTTCGGTGGATAAGGAACTGGCTGGATGGTCGTGTCCAGAGGGTAGTGGTCAACGGCACAATGTCCGGATGGAGACCGGTGACAAGTGGTGTCCCTCAGGGGTCCGTACTAGGACCGGTGCTGTTCAACATCTTCATCAATGACTTGGACAGTGAGATAGAGTGCACCCTCAGCAAGTTTGCAGATGACACTGGTCCCCTCCAACCCAAAACATTCTATGATTCTATGATTCTATGACTCATTCCTACAATATATAATCTGGAGAGCAAATCCCATCAGCAGCAAGCATGCCAGTAGAGAAGAGCTCTGGGCAATCCTCACACCCAGGTGGTGTGAAGCTATAAAGAAGGGGTTGGCAGCAACAGTGGTTGTGCATTTCAGCGCACAACTTCTCAGCTTGTACTTTTGGACGCTGAGACAGGAGGCTCAACCGTCCTCCTCACAGATGCTCTGGGTTATGTGGACTGTTTTCATAATCATGAAGATCAGGGTCCAGGGGGAATTGAAGAGAGTGATGAATGCGTGGAAGAGGAGATGAGGAAATTAGTGAGTGAGGTCATCCAGCACAGGATGCTTACATGACTCCACATTTGTCTGAAGACCTTAAGGCACCAATGTGCAACTGTTTTGTGAGAAACCTTCTGGGATGTTGTCAGCACCAATCATATATCATAAGGCATTGACATTTCCTCCAAAAGCACTCTGCCTCATGGGACAGACGGCCAATTGTTTTCATTTCTCAGCCAATGTGGTGCATAAAACCTATAGATTTATGGCTATGTCAGAGAAAATAGGAAATTTCCACATCATATTTAACTACTAGGTCTGTTGAATGCATATAGAGACTCTAACCATCAGAATTGGGACCATCTATCTCACCTGCCTCATGATTGCCCAGACTGTCCTGCAGCAGAGCTTTGCTCTTTTTATTACTCAAACATCCTCAGAAACTCCATGCATGTGAAATTTTCCTCTTCCACCACCTGATACTTTCCCATCTTACGTAACCTACTACTGAATGAAATACTAGAGCTGAGAAAATCAGTGGGGTTCTTCTTTATTATCATTATCATTATCATGTATCTTTATCATATTTGTCTTGTTAGCAAAAACCTTTCCAAAGGAATTTTATGGTAGGTGCCAGAAGCTGGCTAGGACATATAGAAGATGATGTCTTTGCCCATTGACACTTGGCTCAAGACTGGTCAGGAAAGTGCTTACTGGCTCGTGTGCGTGTGTTCCCTGCACTGCAGTCTCTGTGCCAGGTTGCTCCCATAAGGGTACTTTACAAGAGACCTTGTTTCCTCTGTAAGGTGGAGAAATTAGCTTTACCTTTGCATGAGGAATCCCCTTCCTGTACACCAGTGGGTGTTGTGCTGTCTTCTCCAAAGAGAGGGTGGCTGCCTGCCAGGTGTCTGATATCAGGCTCACTCTGGGGTCTTCTGAATCATAGAATGTTTGGGGTTGGAAGGGACCTTTAGAGGTCATCTCTGAAGTCACCGATGAACCAGGAAGGATGGGAGATGCTTTTGGACACATCAAGAAAACATCTCAGACAAAGAAATGAGGAGGAAGGCTCATACAGACGATCAGTGTTGAGCATTAAACATGCCTCCATCCCCTTATCCATGGAAGCCAGCATTGTGCTCTTCCACTTTTGAGAGTATACTTCTGGTAAGGGACTGATGTTCCATGCTTTACACCTCTGCAGCCACAGGTACATCATGACAGTTCACAGCTGCACTGGGCTTGAAGCCCAAGAACTGCTAATCCTCCTTCCAGGTAGTAATGCCAGTACCCCAATTTAAGGCATATGAACATCAAAGGTGTTTACCAGAAAGTTTATGTGTTTCTTTTGTGGGTTTGGTTGTTTGGGTTTTTTTAAATCCAAAATAATTGTGGAGATGCTTCTTCAAATTACAAGTTGGTTGAATCAGATAATTCCAGCTACTGTAGGATTAAAGTGATATAACAGGCAGTATCTGCAGCAACCAACATCTGAAAGCCAAGAAGAGGAGGGTGGGTATGTGTGTGTGTGCTGAGTTTTTGTGCAACAAAAAGATCATTTAAGACACAGAAGCAGCAAACTGAGAGGGAAATGTTCCATGGTATAAATGTGATGATAGCAACCAAGGTGTCTGAGAAAATGTAAAATGAAACCTTAGGCAGATGATTCAAAGTCTCAGAGAGAGCATCCCATGCTTTTTGATCACGTTTATAAATATTCAAAAATAATAATTAAAAATGTGATGAGGGCACTCATGGATTCCAGAGCACATCCACATCTGGGGCCAGAAACGAGGTATGAGTTTCTTCAAATGGGGAACTTACCTGCCTCAGATCACCTTCCATGTGCTTTCTTTATAAGTGTATTATGGATGTGACATTTGATAATGTCTCTATAACTCACCGTTCATGTAAATCATGTGATACCATGGTCTGGACTCAACAGCATATGGAGTCTGTTAAGCCATGGTGCAAGAAGGTGTGATGCACTGCACAGGGACTTATACCTGTCTGCATGCAATTATAACTCTCTCCATCTGCCATAAGTCCATGGAGACACAAACCACACAAGGCTGGTGTCTCTCTTTCAGGCAGCACCTCAATGTGGAAGTCCATGCCCAGGTCCAGCTGCTGGTGAACAGTCCCGTGGGTCTCACCAGGAGGCTGCTCCAAGGCTGTGTGCTGTACACAGCTCCTTTTCACCCTGTGGAAGAACCCTCTGACATTTCTAACTGTTCCCTTTCCTTTCCCACAGCTGACAAAGAGGCTGATGAATTCTACATGAGGAGGAGACACCTGCCTGACCTGGCAGCCCGGGGCACACTCCCTATCAACGTCATCAAAATGTCTCAACAGACCAACCACAGGGACAGGCCTCGCCGTCCCATCAGGGCCATGTCCCAGGACAGAGTGCTGTCTCCTGAGAGGATCATGCCCGAGGAATTTAGCATGTCCTATGAACGGATCCTCTCAGATGAGCAGCTTCTGTCTGCAGAGCGCCTCCACTCCCAAGACCCCCTGCTCTCCCCAGAGCGGTCGGGCTACCCTGAGCAGTCTATGTCACGGGCATTGTCACACACAGACGTCTTTGTATCAACACCCGTCTTGGATCGCTACAGGATGACAAAAATGCACTCCCATCCTAGTGCCTCAAATAACTTGTACAATACCTTAGGTATGAACCCAACCTCTGCCAAGCGCCAAGCGTTCGCCTCCCGACGGCACAACACAGTAGAACAGTTACATTACATCCCAGGACACCATCATCACTACCGCACAGCGAGCAAAACAGAGGTGACTGTTTGATATGACCTCGTGCATTGTAGATACTTATTAAGGACCGGGGTGGCCACAGCACCCCATACTGCAGTGGCCTTATAGGCCAAGATAACCTCTAATAACTCAGTGTCTGAAAAGACTTCTCTGACAGTCCCATCCACATTGTTTTTAAAGCCACCCCTTCATCAGTGACATAAGAAGAACCCAAGCAAGCAAACAGGTGATAGTGAGGGGTAATAGAGGGATTTTCCTGACATGCATCAGTTTCTGTCAAAGAAAGCCATAGTAGTCGATGGCTCCTTCCAAGGGCTCACCTGCATTATCTCATTCTTTTTAACAGTTTAGGACTTTTCAGTTGCCACAAGTAGAAGCAGTCTCATGCAGCTCAAGACTGGGAGGAGGAAATGCAGCACCCCATCCTGGTGGGAAGGGGCCCTGTTTTCAGTCCTCATGCCAGGCCTCATGTTTATCTTTTCTGCAGTAAGTAGGTAAGCTTCTGGCTGCTGGGGATCACCTCCAGACCACTCAATATCAGCCAGGACCCATACATCTGTTCTTCCTCGCCCTTGGAGTGAATTCAAGGGCAGACTTTCCTAGGGGACTGGCAGATCTAGGGACAAGAATAGACTGGTTGAGAAATAAAGTTTTAGTTTATATTAAATATACTCATAAGATAAAAATATCCTAGTGCCTACAAATTGCCTGCTCTCTCAATGTAGGAAGTAGTGGGGTTGATGTGTTAAATAAGCACAAATATGCTGAAATGCTTGTTAGATCCTTTTCTCCACTCATTCTAGTATCTTGGTGTCTCCAACATGTAAATAGGAAGGAGGAATAGGATTTTTCTTCCTCCAGCTTCTTGCCATCACTGAACCTAAAGCATCAGAATTTGTTCAGCTTTGCACTGCTGACCTGTGCTGGGGGAAGTCCTGACTCCACTGAGATCCCTGGAAGGCAAGGCTACCACACATTTCACTAAGCCTAGATTTCTCCTGAGAAGTTTATTTTCCTGATAGCATTTTCCACTGGCCCAGTTCCCCTGTTTCTGAACATATTTTCTCCTCTTGGATACAATCTAGAGCTCCATATGTAGCAAATCTTTTTCTAGCCCTTAGCAGAAGCACAAAGCCAAGGTTGTCTGTCTACCAAAAGCAGGTCGGTAATTTTCCATGATTTTCTCTCCATGTAATGGCCCCTCAAGAAAACCTTCCAAATTCCAGTTCCAGTGAGTACAATCCTAACCATGAATACAGTTACATTTCATGCATATAAATTATATATCCAGCATAATTATAATAAATGGGCATGTTGTATATCTGATATAATGCTAATTAGATACTGTATATCTGTAAAATCTTTAAAACGTAGACTCGTGGGTCCAGAATTTGTGAGAGTTTTATCTTTGGCTTTCTAGCCAGATTGGGCTTTGCTTTGTTTTCTGTTGGTTTTGATTTTGGTTTGGATTTTTTCCCCTTGTATTTGTATCCCTATCAAATTCTGTAGAACTAACTCACACTAGAACATACTTCTGCAGCCAGGAAAGGGTCTCAGAGGTTTTGAAGGCCAGCCAGACCCACCGCTGCCACTGTTAGTGTTGGGCACTCTCCAGCACTCACCATCCATGGTGTGCACTCAAAGCCCCACCACACGTGCACACCCATGCTGCCAATCCAAACACCAGGCACACTCCTCCTTCGGGTGAAATGACGACTGACTTCAGGCTGTAAACACATTCCCATACAGTACTTCTCTCTTCATGTCCTACATTCCTGCACTGAGTCTTTTCCTATATGGCTCTTCACTAAACTTAATTTAAATAAACTCTGCCATTCTCCCTCCCCTCAAATACCTCCCACCTCCTGGCCTTAATGACATTCCCAGCTCAACATGTCAGTCCTGTGGCATACAATGATTGTAGGTTGTTGTGAGCTTGAGTCTTGTGCGGAGGCTTATGGTACAACACCATTATTTTCCAGTGCAGGGTAGACAGGAGGAGCATGCCGTCTTCCCCATGTGGGATTTAGAAGTAGGCCTCAGTGAAGTGGCCATGTCCTGCAGCTGCTGGCCCTAGCTTATGAGCTTTCTTCTACCCCGCCTGATGGAGACTGTGTTCAGAAAGGACTCCACCTACGAGAAGTACAGGGGTTTTGTTTGACGGAAACTGAGCTGGGAAGGAAGAGACTCTTAGTCTCCATAGTTCAGATGGTCATTACCATGCAGCCTTGGGCAAAATCATTCTGGGCGACAACCAGAATTGTCTATGAATCAGGGTGGTAGTTCATGGCATGGGAAGGATGAGAGAGAAAAGGCTCACTCCTGACCTCTTCCTTTGATGGACACTTCTCTCCCCTGACTACCTCCAAGCTCCTCAGCTCAGTCACTGGATATTTCTTCACAGAAAGCAATCCCTGTGAAAATATTGCCCTTGATGACCTTCCCACAGACCAAAGTTGGTGACTCTTGTGAAGAGAAGAGAACCACACATGGCTGATGGGGAGGCAGTCCCTGCTGATGTTCTGGGGCTCTTTCCATTCTCTCTCAGCCCAAACAAAGCCAGAATCTTCCCCTCTGCAAGCAGGGAGATGTAAACACTGTGGGAGAGGATAGTCCACCCTAGAGTCTCCAGGAGTTGAGGTGTCAGAGACGGGGAAGCAGAGGTGACCATGTGAGGCCACGGGTAGGTGAACACTCCTCTCTTTCCATTTCCATAGCTGTATGTCTCAAGCTCTAATCTTCATCTAAATGTTCCATCTGTGAACTAAGAAACTGTTGAACCAGATGCAAATATGGAAATTTTTCACTCAAGTAACCCGTGCAGATGCTGTGCTGTGCTCCAGGCCATTTGACCTTGGAGCCTTCTATTATTCTGACTGAAAAATATCACAGGCCCTCTGGTAACTTGTCCTACCTGGGCAATAATCTTCCAAAGAAATCTTAGCCCCATTTCCTTGTCTTTTCCACCCATTCAACTGTTTCAAGCAGATGTGTCCCACAACAACTATCAAAAAGCCTTTCTAGGTGAACTCTCTTCAGGGACTCTGCCACCACCACAGAAATTTTTCAGCAAATTTCTTTGGGAAGGCACCATGCCCTGGATGACCGCAATTTGTTCCTGGGCACCATGTGTTCCCATGGCTTGCTTTGTGTGCTGGAGTGGGTTCGTCACTAGAGCAGTGGCATTTCAGCACACAGAGGTGTTCTTACATAATTTTTTTCCTTATTCCTCATTCTGAAAGTTTGCCACTGAAAGGACACTTGGTCCAGGACTGCGTGTCACAATCTACAGCCTGGGCCCTAGTACTTTGGTTCCCTGTGGTCAACATGTGATGATAATGGTAACACTTCCCTGTTCCACAGAGGCATTATGAGGGTTCATACTATAATGTCTATGAAGTGCTTTGAGACCCTCTCACAACAGACACTCTAGAACAGCAAAGCATTTTTATTAATCTTGTTTGTCACCATTGTTCTGCCACATCATGTCTGATGTGTTGCAATCCAGTGTCTGTCCAGAAGGAGAGTGCTGGGGTGGGGGGGTGCAGTTCCCCAGATTTCCCATTGCTCTCCTTCTCGTCAGGGTCCCTAGCAGGCAGCATCTCTAAGGGATGCTGTTACCTGCACTTTGACCTTTCTGCTTTCTTCTCTTCATGTCTGAGTCATCACAACATTCTGCACTCAGGAGAAAAGCAGGAATCAGTCACATTCCTCTGTACAGTAAAATATAATCTGCCTTGATTAATCTAATATACTCTGAAGAATTAATCTGTCTTTTTCTCCAACCCACAGGTGGAAACATACATCTGTGGAGTGTCCAGTTCCCAGAGTGCATGTGCAGGGACTGGGGGAGGGTGATGTAGAAAAGTTTATATTAATTCCTATAAACTGATAATTATTTGCATTCCCCAAGCAGTAACACATAATAGTGAGCTGCACTGGATTTTATACAAACCTCTCATTAATACAGATACATGTATGTATATGTATATACACACAAATGCATATATATACATACATACTCTAAAATGCAATCATTAAGTTCTGACTGACCCTGTACCAATGTAAGCTTCCAAACTGTATTGAATCACTCTTTGAAATGCGGAAAACTATTTTTAATGAACCACACAGATCACCACATGGAATGAAAATTTTGTCATAAAAGTCTTCTAATGCCAGTGAATCGTGTTTTAAGGAAAAATGAAATATTTTTCAATGTTTTAGTGTTCCTTTTATAAATGATAATCTGTTACTTGGGGATGGGGGTGGGTGGGTGGGAAGAA